AAGAACAGTAATGTATTTAAGACAGGCGATGGTACTGTACCTAATAATTTCTACCTAATAGTGTGCCTTCTGGGATCAGTTTTGGGACTGGATGGCTGGTTTTTTCCATCCATTATAGTTATCGATTTCTGGTCATAGCACAGAAAGTAACATTGTTCTCAGGAAACTTCATTACTATGTTAGAGTGGGAGTATCATCTCTGTGGAGATTTATATTATGCGGGAAGATTAGGAGATGTGGAATTAAACAACTGAGGTAAAACATGGCAAAAAGTAAATGTGCTTATGCTATAAATTGGGAGATCATAAACTGTAAATGACAGGAGAAAATTCTTGATATTCTAGTTTGTTATAAGTTACTTCTTTTCTTGAATTTTGAAGACGGCAAAAATACCTGCAGGACAAAGAAATATAGCAAGAGTTTTTTATTGCAGTGGTGAGTACCCATTTCCAGCACTGGGTGCACCTCTGAATCATACAAAGAGCACACCCTGTTGTTTGAAAACCGCGCTTTTTGTACCCTTAGATATCAGTTGTTGAATATTCATTCATTGTCCATTTGTTGCCTTAAAAGGTAATTTCCCTGCTTTGGAGGTGGGTGTTACCTTCTGGCTGGTTGTAACATATCTCCCCTGGGCTCGTACAGGGGGGTCTTGCATCATCCTCACATTGCAAGGCATGGGGTGCCTCTCTGTGTATCCACATGGCACAGAGGAATACATTTTTATTTATAATTTGTTCCCTGTTCCCGACCGCAAAAGATTCCCAGGTGTTAGGTCCAGACGGGACCCTTCACCTTACAGCTTCCACGGTACACCTATAAGTTAGTAAATATACAGAAATAGTTCTTTTGTTAGTACCCTCTGTTTATTTTAATTTGCTTGGAATAAAACCGTGTTCCTCTACTTATCACATAGTTGATCACACAACCTATCAGGGTGAAGTGACAAAGGGAAAAGTGAATGCAATTTTAGAATTACTGTAATTTGGTAGTGAATGTTCCTGTGGAAAGCAGTCTGGAGCCTGTGTGGGATGTTGCACCTAGTCCTTGTTGCCAGTGTTGGAAAAGGAGACAGACTGAAACTCAGAAAAGCTCATCATTCTTGGACAGGTGTCTTTATACAAGTCATAAAAAGAAAAAAAGCACAGTGCTAAATGACTGTGAACACGTAATCTGGAAAAAAGTTTGTATATGTTGACAACAAGGTGTTAGTGCAACTTTCTGGGGTGAATAGCAGAGGCAGACCACTTAACATATAGGTGAAATGAGTTCAGTTTATAGGGTATTTATGGTAGTATGTATTAGATATGATTGTACAGGCAGGGTCTGGAGGATGTTTGTCATAGGTTTACTTGTTCTAAAAAAACCAAACAGGGAATTTTCCTTTCCCCTGCATCGCTGTAAAAGAAAGATGTTGAACGAGGGAGGGGGAAGGGGTTTGCCTAGGGTAACTGACACACAAAAGAACTAACTAGCAGGCCTGCATTCCAAGCTGATGGCCCTCCTTAGACTGTGGGGAGGGGGTGATGAGGTTTTTTTCCCCTCTCCTCAGGAAATGGAAGTGACTTCACTTTGGCCTTAACTCAGGCAAGGTGTGTGTTTGAGGGGTCGGAGGTTGACTCTGTTTTCAACCTGGTCATCTGGCTGTTTTCTGACCCTGACTTGCCTCCATGTTCCTATGCCCTATTCTGCCCCCAGCCCAGACCTGCTCAGACTTCATCGGACAGACTTGACCCATCTGCAGAGGAACTTTTTGGGGAGAAGGTCGTCCTCTCCCTCCTCCACTCCTGTGTTGGCAGTGGCGTGTGTTCATTGACGAAAGGGGGGAATTCCCAGCCAGACAGACGAAGATGGGATGTTTAATGTTGTATCAGCCTTGAAGGGAGACAAACAAGCCTTTGTAAAGTGCATCTCAGGAAACATTCCCACCCAAGGGAGATTCAGAAAAGAGAGTCCAAGTCATGTGGCTTTCACATGGTATTTCATTTACTTGCCACTCAGTTTTTTGTTCTTTAAGTTTTTCACTTGTTCATTGACTATCCCATTAGAGCCTCTGTTGCCGGCGCCGGCAGCTGGGGTTGATGGAATCCCACCTGAAATCTGGAAGCACAGTGGCCAAGCACTCCATGTTAAGTTTCACGAATTTGTGGTGCGCTGCTGGGAACGAGGTGAACTACCTTCAGACCTTTGTGACGCTGTCATCGTCACCTTGTACAAGAGGAAAGGAGATAAATCAGACTGCTCAAATTACCGAGGTATTACTCTGCTCTCCATTGCTGGTAAAATCCTTACAAGAATTCTTTTGAACAGATATATACCCACCATAGCAGAAGATCTTCTACCTGAAAGCCAATGTGGTTTCCGAGCCAACAGAGGTACCACAGACATGGTATTTGTTCTCAGACAAGTGCAAGAGAAGTGTAGGCAACAGAACAAAGGACTCTATGTTACCTTTGTTGATCTCACCAAGGTTTTCGATACTGTGAGCAGAAAAGATCTGTGGCAGATTTTGGAAAGTTTAGGATGTCCTCCCAAGTTCCTCAAAATGATCATCTCGCTTCATGAGGACCAGCGTGGTCAAGTCAGATATGGTGATGCACTTTCTGAGCCGTTTCCAGTAGCTAATGGTGTGAAGCAAGGCTGCATTCTCACACCCACCTTATTCACGATCTTCTTCAGCATGATGCTCCAAAGGGCCATGACAGACCTCAATTTTGAAAACGGTGTCTACATGTCATAGTTCTGATTTTAGCAAGGAATTTTTCTTTCCTTCCCCCCCTTGCGTGTGTGCTCTGTTAATGGGCCATCAGATAAAACAAAGGAGTTGGCCTGATCCCTAAATGACCGAGACATTAGTCGCCTAGCAACGAATGGGGGAGGAATGGGGAAAGGCTAGGGTGTGTGTGTGGAAAGAGTTGGGGTTTGGGGGTTGGAGCTCAGCTCTAGGGGGTTGGAGCTCAGCCCTGGAGCCGGAGGGGAGGCTGCAGCAAGCAGGAGAGACTGCTTGGTTTCTTTTTTGTCTTTTCCTGTCGGAGGAGAGTTTTTTACTGCTGTTCTCTGCTCAGCTGTTGGTAGCTGCAGGCTTGGCTCACTGCGAAATCCTCACCAACTGAAAATTGTGAGTTTTCTTCCATTGGGAGAACTTTCTGTTTCCCTCCCCCTTTCCCCCTCCTCCCCCACCACCTGGAGGCAACCAAGGATCTCACAGCGCCGCCTGGTGACGGGTACTGGACATTACAAGTTCTACTCCTCCAGTGATCCAACAGCGCCACCTGGTGACTACTATAGAACATTACAAGCTCTGCACCTTTGATAACTCAACAGCGCCACCTGGTGAATGGTATAAGACATTACAAGTTTTGCATCTCCAGTGACCCGACGGCGCCCCCTGCTGACTGTGGCTGGAACTGCACCAAAGGGTGCTAAAAATTGAACTACTTAATTTTCCTTTTGCCCGTTTATCGATTTTGTTCCTGAAGGGGATTATTGGTGGGTATAGGGGTATTGCTTGGTTGTTTTACTTGGTTTTTTCCGTGTTCCTGTTAATACACACATACCTTTTAATAAAGGGCTGTTATTTTTTCCCTTTTCCATAATTTGTTTTCCTTCAGTCGGAACCTCTTAATTTCGGATTTATAATTGCTTAGAAAAGGAAGTTTGGGTCTCTTTCTCCTAATCCATCCTCAGCAAAAGACCTTTGTCTCATTTAAACTGGGACACTACATTCGATATCGTACCAATGGGAGCCTTTTCAACCTAAGGCGACTGAAGGCCCACACTAAGACCTTAAATCATCTTCTCCGTGAGCTGCTTTACGCTGATGATGCCGCCCTCGTCGCCCACACAGAAGTAGCTCTGCAGCGTTTAACATCCTGCTTTGCAGAGGCTGCTGAGTTTTTTGGTCTGGAAGTCAGCTTGAAGAAGACAGAAGTTTTATATCAGCCTGCACCTCAGGAAGTTTTCCATCATCCCCATATCACCATTGGTGAAACAGAGCTCAAATCAGTCCAGCAGTTTAATTACCTGGGAAGCATCATCTCCTCAGACGGTAAGATTGATGCTGAAATTGACAACAGGTTAGCAAAGGCATACAGTGCTTTTGGTAAACTCTGTAAAAGAGTGTGGCAAAACAAACACCTGAAGAAAAGTACTAAGATCAGTGTTTACAGAGCCATTGTACTGTCTACTCTTTTATATGGATCTGAATCATGGGTCATTTACCTCCACCACTTGCGTCTCTTAGAACGCTTCCATCAGCTCTGCCTCCGTACAATCCTAAACATCCACTGGACTGACTATGTGTCCAACACATCTGTCCTTGAACAGGCAGCAGTCCCAAGCATTGAGGCCATGCTGCTGAGAACTCAGCTGCATTGGGCAGGGCACGTCTCCAGGATGCAGGACTGCCGCCTCCCTAAGATCGTGCTATATGGGGAACTTGCCACTGACTGCCGCAAGAGAGGAGCCCCGAAGAGGAGATACAAGGACTGCCTGAAACAATCCCTCAGCCTTGGCCATATTGATCACCACCATTGGTCTACCCGGACCTCCAATCGGGAGGCCTGGAGACACACCATCTATAACGCTGCTGCTGCTTTTGAGAACACACGCAGGATCACTCTCGAGGAGAAAAGACAACGCAGAAAGAATCAAGTCTTTTCGATATCACCTGGGGAGTCTTTCTGCTGTACGTTCTGCAACCGGATTTGTCTATCTCGCATTGGCCTTTTTAGCCATCAGCGCGCTTGTAACAAGCGTGGGTAGAGCCCCTCTCAAATCTTCGTTCGCGAAGCCTAGCCATGATGATGAGAGCCTCTGTTAGTGGATCAAATCTAAGACATTTTACAGTATGTGGTCAGCAATTTTCTTCTATTTATCACTTTTTTGTTTTTTTAAACCTCCCTCTTTCTGCTTCTATCTGCATTTCTCAGATCAGGGATTAAAATAATTTCTGGAAAAATTTTCCATCTGTTATTTCATTATTTGTGTTTCCTTTCTAGGTCGAATTCACCAAGCTATGGTAACATCCCTAAATGAAGATAATGAAAGTGTAACTGTTGAATGGATTGAAAATGGAGATACTAAAGGCAAAGAGGTAAACATAATTATTTTATAACTTTTCTCTTTGAAAATGGGTAATTTGCATGACTTATGCTTTGGAATTTTCACTGGAAACAAAAAAACAAAAATCTTAATTTATGCGATGATTCTTTGGTTATAGACTTTGAATGGGAGTTATTGGGCAAATGCTGGTTTCTGTTGTATATTAAATTTGACTTCCTGAGCTCTTTGTCATAAGTTTTAAATAATGTTTTTCATCTTTTGATTTTGAAACATATGTCGTGGTTTTGCTCTGGGTCAATTTACTTTCACACTCCCCACACAATTACTATTAGCTGAGAGAATGTTTATGCAGACAAAAGAGGCAAGATTTCGGGAAAATAGTAAACATTTATTACTAGCAAAATAAAAGCTACTTAAGAACTATATCTACAATATTTTTACCCCCTTTATACCAGTCCAAGGAGGAGAAGCAGTCTTATTCTTCTTTCTTGGAGTTCCAGTTCTCTCTTCAGTAACTCTGCAGCATTCTTGTCGCAGCTTGAACTTTTTCATCCCTCTCTCTCGCTCTGTGTTGGTCTCCAGGGCTGGGCCTAGCCCCCTCCTGGGCTAAGACCGAAGACTGGGGGTTACCCGGGTTCTGAAGGGTCTTTCTTCCATAGACTTGCAAGGGGACACTTGCTTACTATGGATCTTCTTCCACAGGGTTACAGGGGATAATGGCTTAAGAGTCCACCCCTATTTCCCTATGGAAGTCCCTCCCCATGGGAGAACAGTCCTTGATAGACCGCTCCAACATGGTCTAGCATGGATCCCACACATGAATCCCAACATCCTTACGCTTTTACTCCAGCGTAAGGCTTTCTTAGGGTCACAAATTCTTCAACAGCAGTATGGATCCCACACACAGATCCCAGTATCCCACCTGAGCAGTCATCGCTCCAACATGGGTTTCCCTCAGGGTCACAAATCTCTAGTACCAGCAACATGGATCTCTCACTGAGATCCTAAGCTTATCTGAGCCGTCCTCACTCCAGCATAAGCATCATCCCCTTCAAGGGTCACAAGGTCTTCAACAGGACTCTGCCTCACCTCAGTCCTTCTCATGAAGTCTCAATTCTTTGGTACATCCACAAGCTCTTCTGTGAGCCGCATGGGGATCTCCTCACCCCAACAATCTTCTAAAGGTAGCAGGGATTATTTTTCAGTCTTTTCCCTGCTAAACGGAGAGAGTGAAAAGAGGGGGGGGAAGAAGCAAACCCCCCCTTTCACACTTTACTTCTCTTGCTGCAGCTTCAGTTGCCAGTTTTGACCTTGGAGGTTTCGTTATCTCTCAACTGGAATTTCTCTGCAGCGGTTTCTGTCCAAGCAATGTCTTTTAAACCTTTTTTTCTTCACTCTCTTACAGAAGAGAAAGGGGGACTTCAGTACTATATTTGCCCCCCCCAGCCCAAGCCAGGGGAGGAGAGGGCCCTGGCCCTCCTTAGGGCCTTGTTGCCCCCTCTACATGGCTGCTACTCTTAATTTCAACTGCGCAATCAAGTCTTCTCTTCCGTTTTCTTAAAGATGTAATTAGCAAAGGCGTCACTGAACTTTTGATTGGCCTTCTTGTCTGGAAATTACCTGGACAAAACCATCCACAGCTCCAGGGATGGGCTGGTGGGCAAAACCACGACAACATATTACAAAGGTTGACCTTGTTACTCCTTTTTGAAAGTAGAAAAATCAAATTTTTGAGAGGGAGAATGACTTGCAGTTCAGACAGGAGACCAGTGGGAGCTGGATTAGAAATCTTTTTGCGTTTGTATTATTGAGGGATTGAACTGCTAGTTTGTTTGTTTTAGGCAATAATTTTACAATCTTGCTTTCTTTAAGAAACTTTGTGTTTCTCAGTTATGCTTTGCTGTTCCCCTTTCCTGTAAATTTTGGATCATGTTAGTTTCAGCTGAGATTTGGAGAAGCAGCTCAGGAATAATTGCATTTCACCAGTTTTGTAAAAACATGGGGAAAAGGAAAAAAAAAGGTTGTGAGAATGTCCTGGTGATCTCATCAACTGAACTCATCCCACTGGACACAGAATCTGTAGAGTAGTGAGGTCTTTGAAAGGTCCAGCCAAAGGAAATGGCAGTCTATAGAGACCAAAGCTAAGATTTTTAGGAAGCTGGTTTTCAGTAGTTCTGAAGTCAGTAATTTTTAAGTTCCTGTCCTTCTCCCCCTTACATTTTGCAGCTTTTTGAATGAGGAACATTTATAAGGGAAAAAAATAGCATGATAAATTTGACATGGTTTCAACTGTGTTTTTATTTTTTGGGTGGTTGTAATTCATCTGTTTCTTTTGCACTGTCTGGGAAATTTCAAATAATTGAGATCTCTTTCTTTTTATGTTACAAAATGTCTTTCATATTCTGCAGTAATTGACAAATTACCACAGTAATACTAGCTACTTCTGTTTTAATTTAATCACTTTACAGAATTATGAATACTTTTTGGTGTTGCATCCCACTCCTAAGAGGAAGGGAGCACCCAAGATTCATAGATGCCTGTGGCCGAAAAGGAATGGCAAAAACCAGAAGGGTCAAAAAAAACATACAAAGTTTTATTATCAAATCATACACTTGGCATGGAAATTGGTATAAATTTTACCCTTATTTTCTAGTAGTAAGAGAAAGAAAAGAATAAAAGAGGGAAGACAGAAAGACAGATAGTGTGAGAGATGAGGTAGGAGAGGAAAGGAGATCACCAGTCTTGGTTCCAGCATCAATCCAACTGATGGGGTGTCCAGGGTCCTGAGGGCACCACCTGGGCTTTGTGGGGGTACCTTTTTATAGGTAAGTTTTCCCTGCCCTCAGATTAGATTTCTTGCTCTCCATGTCAATGAGTTAGCATGCACAGTCTGTTCTTCTAGACCTTTCTGGAAATGGGTTGGGGGGCTTTGAGGGTCTTTGGTGGTCTTGATCCCCCTCTATCGGATTGACCTTCAGTCAACAGTTCATGCCTGCTTCTTGATCCCACTTCTGTGCTTGCACTGTCCTTTATGTTGGACAGTCACCATGGACAAGAACAGGGACATAGGCCTCAGAGAAGTGCTGCCCTACCTTCCTACAGCTCCCCTCTTCAGCTACATCCTATTCTAACTTGCCGGCTTGCACAGCTATTGGTGTTTGAAACATAACAGCACATTAACTCCTTGTTGTCCAAGTTTCTACAATTGGTTATTTTTTAATTAATCTCTTTTCTGAAGGATATGTTTTCAATTTATATGAAGACCAAAGCTTACACTGTTTTTAGTGAATATAAAATAAGACCATTCAGGTTATAGAATTAACAAATTGTGGGGTAAAAACACTAAATAAACACTTTATTGTTTATTATCAAAAGTATCAGGACAAATGGAGAGGGTGAATGTTGTTCTAAGACTCATAAATGCATTTTATATTCTTTTACACAGATTGACTTGGATAGCATATTTTTGCTTAACCCAGATCTTGCACCTGATGAAGACATTGAACCTAGTACAGAGACACCACCACCACTTACTCCAGCAGCCAAAGTAAACAAAATCGTGAAGGTTGGTAATACCTATGTAACATATCCATATTAAACTTTAAGTACTCCTATACATGTTGTTATGCTTAAATATTTAAATCTAACTTTTGTGTCTGTGGAGCTACTTGATAACTGTGTTCCTTTCTTTTTCCTATGATGAATAGGGGTTTCTAAAAATTTTCAAGAAGAGGTTTAGCAGAAAGGGAGTTGGGGACTAATATTCATATAACTAAATATATCTCAAGGAAAAATATAGAAAACGTTTTGGAGGTTGTTTTGAAACCATATGTTTAGTGCAAGCAGTCCACCCTGGGCTCTTCAGGGAAGAATTTGGCAGCAATCACCTCTGTTCCTGATGTCATGTTATTTTTATCAACTGGAAAGAAGTGAAGGACTGCAGTTTACCTTTTCAATAATAAGGTGATCAAATAACAGAAATTTCTTTCTTTAAAGAGTCGACGAACTGTGACACCTATTAAGAACGACACTCCTGCCAGAGATAACAGAGGTAAATGTTATGTCTTTCCCTTTCAAGGAAGGTAAATATATGGGAACATTTTAATCTCCTGGTCATATAACATTTCTTAATAGTTCTACATTTCTAATTCTAACTCTACAGGTTATTTCTCACTCTATGCTTAAATAGTGAAATATCACAGGATGATAGGTGAAAAGTTTGTATTGGATGAATATAGATGTAATGTATCTAATAATAGGAGAAAGAATTGCTCATTGTTTTTATTTTCTCTCCTGAATTAAAGTAAGCACTGTAAGACTTGATATGTATGCAGGTAACCAGATGTGGTGGTTTTAATCTAGGTCTTCCCTGGTTACCAGTTTGTAACCAAGGAAGGGGCAGTGTTCCCAGTATTCCATATGATTTTTACATAAATCGTGGTATAAATAAGAAGGGAGGAGCGGCCTTCGTTCTTCTTCTCTTCCACCGAAGTTCGGGAACAGTGGGTCCCTGCATTGGTCTCGCTTATCTAAGGCTGAGGCCTGCAGCATCCACTGACCTGCCACGTGGAAGCTTGGAGAGTGCTGGCAGTGTCTGCCAATCCTGCTTTCTAAGGGACGTGGTGAGATTTGTTTTACTAGTTATTTTACTAGTTCTCAGGTTTGATTGTGCATATCTATTCGGTGTCCCTTTTTGTTTCCTTTTGTCCCTTTTTTCCCCTTTCCCTATCCCTTCAGGGGGTGTTTGGATTCCCGTTTGCTGTGTACATAGCATCTTAACTGTAATATACATAAAATATATTTTTTTTTATATAACTAGCTTGGTTTTCGAGTTCTTCAATTTGCATAGTTTTTTTTCCTTTGCCCTGGGGGAAGTAGAAAGGAGGGAAGAGAGGGGCTGCTACTGGGGGGTTGGGCATTTGGCAGGGAGCCAAGTCCAAACCATCACACCAGAGAGCTAAACCAGGGTTAAAATATTGAGGAAAGTTTAATTTGAAATCAGAAATGTGGGAAAAAACACACACAGGAGCCGGTCTCCTGTCTTACATATCAAAGACCCGACAATACACAGATGCCCACTAGGTTGTTCTTTTACAGATCTAACTTTCTCTTATCTCCCTTCCCCCCAAGCCTGTGGGAAAGAATGTTTTGAAATTTTAAACAACCTACAATTATCATCCTTAATAGAAACTTCCTTCTGTTTCAGCAAAAACAGCCCAAGGGAAGGACAGAATGTTAGAGTTCCCACACTATATCTCTCCCAGACTTAACCTTCCAGGTGCGGAAGGTCTCTTGAGCAAAGAAAATCCTTAATCAGCTCACCCTTCCTCCTTGCCCAAAATCTTTTATTTGTCACCCCTGCCTCCCCGCAGCTCATACTGATGGTGGTGATGATTCTTCTTCCAAACAATAATCTACTGACATTAATTTAGGCTAAATTCCATTCTATCTGTTAAAACTTGAAAAACAAGTGGGCTTGCACATCTTTTCAAGTGTTCAGACTCTTCTGGTCAATAATTGGGATCACTTTCTGTCTTCTGCCATTTGCCTCTGGGGGTGTTAATTCAGAAACTTCATGAAGAGGGGATTTTTTTTCAAACTAATATGGTTTAAATTTGACATATCTTCTCAATGGACTCTCCTCCCATCCATCACTTCTAGTAAATGTTTTGTTTTGTATGGAATAACCCCATGGCTTGTATTTTAATAGGTCCTATGCATCTTACTATTCACAGTTGGCCTAAGTATTTGTTGGTCTTTTAATTAAACTTTTCTCAGCACACTGTCTTGTTTAGTGTAGTTAATTCATGCTATAAGTTAGATCTCCTATCATATTTTGAATGATGTAGGGATTTGTTTTGTCTATCCCATTTGATACCTGATTCCATAGTTTTCTCCATGTTGCACAGTGTGCCGGTCTTCATTTGGAATGTCATCTCTAGGCTGCTAATCAAAAGTGTTACCTTCACTGTCGTGGTTTTGTTTTGGGTTAATTTGTTTTTTATTTTTCATATAATTATTATTAGTTGAGAGAAGGTTTTTGTAGACAAAAGAGAGATAGGATTTGGGGAAAATAGCATAAACATTTATTATTAGTAAAATAAAAACTATTAATAAATTAAAAATTAAAGAATTATATTTATAATAATTTTTATTTAAGTTGAAGTGTTATATATTTATGGAAATATTTCTTTTTTTTTTTATACTAGTTCAAGGAGAAGAAGTAGTCTTATTTTTTATTTTTGGAGTTTTAGTGTTTTTTTCTAGTAATAGATTTTTAGTAGTAGTAGTATTCTCGTTGTAGTTGGATTTTTTTTTTCTTTCTTGTTTTGTGTTGGTTTCTAGGGCTGGATTTACTCTCTTCCTGGGCTAAGACTGAAGTCTGGAGGTTATCCAGGTCCCGAAGGGTTTTCCTTCCATAGGCTTGCAAGGGGACACTTGCTTACTATGGATCTTTTTCCACAGGGTTATAGGGGATAATGGTTTAAGAGTTCACCCCTGTTTTCCCTATGGAGGTCCCTCCCCATGGGAGAACAGTCCTTGATAGACTTCTCGGCATGGGTCTAGCACAGATCCACACACACACGGATTCCAACATCTCACATGGACCGTCTCGCTCCAACATGAGATTTCTCAGGGTCACAAAATCTTCAACAGCAGTATGGATCCACACATACACGGATCCTAGTATCCCACCTAAGTCGTCACTGCTCCAGCACAGGTTTCCCTCAGGGTCATAAATCTCCACGAGGACTCTGCCTCACTTCAGTCCTTCTCATGAAGTCTTGGTTCTCTTTCGTACATCTACAGACTCCTCTATCAGCCGCATGGGGGGTCTCCTTACTCCAACAAACTTTTACAAGTAGCAGGGATTACCTTACAGTCTTTTCCCTGCTGAGGAGAGAGAGCAAAAAGGGGGGGGGGGGAACAAGCCCCCCCCTTTTGCACTTTTCTTGCTGCAGCTTCAGCTGCCAGCTTCGACCTTGGAAGCTCCGTTATCTTTCAACTGGAATTCTTCCACAGCGGTTTCTGTCCAAGCAGTTCGTCTTTTAAACTTTTTTTTCTTCACTCTCTTACAAGAGAGAAGGGAGGACTTCAGTGCTACACCTGCTCCCCCCACCCCGGCCCAAGCCGGGGGAGGAGGGAGTCTGACCCTGCTAGGGCCCGCTACTCCTCTCCCGTACATGGCTGCTGCCCCTAATTTCAACTGCACAAACAAACCTTCTCTTCCATTTTCTTGAAGATGTAATTAGCAAAGGCGTCACTGGACTTTTGATTGGCCTTTTTGTCTGGAAATTACCTGGACAAAACCATCCTCAGCCCCAGGGATGGGCTGGTGGGCAAAACCACGACAATACTCTTCTGGCAGACCTTGTTAGGAACATGTACAGAAAAACGGCCATCTGAAGCAGAGTTGGTTGAAGCAACTCTGAAAACCAAAACATTCAGCTCTACCAAAGAGGCTAGTACGCATACCACTCCCACTGCATTCATTGGGAAAAGACATCACTCTGCATCTTCAGAAATAGGAATCCTTATTACATATCATAGAATCAATAAGTTTAACTTTCCAGTATAATGTCACAAAGGCTTGTTTATCCCACTTATAGACTGAGCTGCACATTGCTGCCTTTCATTTGTATCCCTCTACTCATCCACAAATTGTAGGTTCAATGGGGTGGGACCATTTTGTAACATCTAGACAATGTAAACAGTGGGTCCTTTTTTTCTACTGGGTTTTTGTGTATAATTACAATATAAATAAAATATGGCAAAAGTGAACAGTTGTTTAGCCACAGCACTCTGAAAAAGCTTTTCAAGGAAGCCTACAGTCAACTGCATATATAGAACATCTGTCATTTATGGACAACAACATAATTCATTCTATTCACATAATAAGTTCTATTAATTTTTTAGTGGAGTATTAAAAAATATTCACATGCAGCATCAATACTTAATAATTATGTTGTGTTGGTATATAACACTAGGATAAAAGAAGCTGCATACTGAATGTCTTTATTAATACTTTTTACATGTATGGTTCTCCTCTCCCTCTTCCCCAATTAATTGTTGTGTTTTGAAAGGCGTCTCTTTTTATTTTGTCATAAAGTATTTAGAATTAGATAGAAATGTTGCTCTTCCATATCTAGATGAGCTTTGTGCTTTTCATTTGCAGTGGTTGGTTCTGCACGCACGCGTCCTGCTCAGCTTCCTGAACAGTCTTCTTCCTCTCAACAGAATGGTAGTGTTTCAGATATATCTCCAGTTCAAGCTGCAAAAAAGGAATTTGAACCTCCCTGTATGTAAACTGTGTATCAAGGATTCATTTGTTCTGGGCATTAAATGTCCGGTTTTTTCAATTATGTTGTTCTTTCTAATATTTGGAATTTGTTTTTCCTTATGTCTTTTTAACCATGACAGTGGTTTTTTTATGTACCTGAGCTTTCTTTTAATTCAAACCAAGAGATGACATGTAACCAAATATCATCACACATCCAAATATTTTTTGAGGGTCATTGTCATTATATTTTCAGTTGTGTAATTATTGTCCCATTCCTATATTTTTTTTGCATTCATTTATTTTATACATTTTAGAAATTAAATTACTGTAATTATTTTGTACTGTTATTGGTTTGCTTGAAAAGACATTTGATATAAATAAATGCATTCTAATCATTCATAAATTGGAATTGAAATGTCATAGTGTAAATACTAAATTCATGCAACATTAAAAATATTTTAAAATTATATCATTTTCTTTAAGCACGTAGAAAATCCAATTGTGTAAAAGAGGTTGAAAAACTGCAAGAGAAACGTGAAAAAAGAAGGTTACAGCAGCAGGAACTTAGAGAAAAAAGAGCTCAGGTTAGTATTTTTAGCTCAGATGGAAAGTGTATATCAGGAAAAGGAATTGTTTGCAAAATTATGTGCTTTTTTCAGTCTTCAATCTGAAATGCTTTTATCCTGTATACAGCTTTGATAAGTATTTTGGTGCATGGTTGCATTGCTTTGGTAACTATTTCTTTAGACAGTTTCCGCCCTCTCTTTTTTCCTACAGAAATAATTGCACACATTCTGTGTGTTATTTAAAAATCAAGTCCTGATAATAGCTATTGCTTAAGGAAAATATATTGATGAAAATAATCAAATATTTGGTTTTTATATAGGGTTGTTATTCTGTAGGAGGTATTAATAGAATCATGGAATGATTAGGTTTGAAAAGACCTCTAAGATTATTGAGTCAAAGTGTCAACTCAGCACCACTGTGTTCACCACTAAACCATGTTCCCAAGTGCCACATTCACATGTTTTTTGAACACTTCCAGGGATGGTGATTCCAATAATTCCCTGGGCAGCCTGTTCCAGTGCTCAACAACCCTTTCTGTGAAGAAATGTTTTGAGGCTATTTCCTCTCATCTTGTCACCTGTTACCTGGGAGAAGAGGCTGACCCCCACCTCACCACAACCTTCTTTTAGGTAGTTGTAGAGTGAGAAGGTCCCCCCTGAGCCTCCTTTTCTCCAGACTGAGCCCCTCCATCTCCCTCAGCTGCTTGTCATCAGACTTGTCCTCCAGACCCCTCCCCAGCTCTATCACCATTCCCTGGACATGCTCCAGCACCTCAATGTTTCTCTTGTCATGAGGGGCCCAAAACTGAACACAGGATTTGAGATGCGGCCTCAGCAGTGCCCAGCACAGGGGGACGGTCGCTGCCCTGGTCCTGCTGGCCACACTATTGCTGATACAATCCAGGATGCCATTGGCCTTCTTGGGCACCTGGGCTCATGTTCAGCTGCTGTTGACCAGCACCCCCATGTCCTTTTCACAGAATCACAGAATGGTTAATGTTGGAAGGGACCACAGTGGGGACATCTAGTCCAACCTCCCTGCTCAAGCAAGGTCATCCTAGAGCACATCGTACAGGATTGCATCCAGGAGGTTCTTTAATATTTCCAGTGAGGGAGACTCCATGACCTCTCTGGGTAACCTGTTCCAGTGTGTGGTCACCTGCACAGTAAAGAAGTTCTTTCTCATATTCAGGTGGAACTTCCTGTGCATCCGTTTCTGTCTGTTGCCTCTTGTCCTATTGCTTGGCACCACCAAGAGGAGCCTGGCTCCACCCTCTTGAAACCCTCCCTTTAGATACTGATATACATTAATGAGGTCCCCTCTTAGTCGTCTGTTCTTGAAGCTGAACAGGCCCAGCTCCCTTAGCCTTTCCTCATAAGACAGATGTCCCAGTCCCCTAATAATCTTTGTTGCCCTCCGCTGGACCCACTCCAGGAGCTCCATGTCTCATACTGAGGAGCCCAGAACTGGACACAGTACTCCAGATGCATCCTCACCAGAGCTGATGACACCAAGCTGAGTGGTGCAGTTGATACACCTGAGGGATGGGATGCCATCCAGATAAACCTAGACAAGCTCGAGAAGAGGGTCCACTGGAATCTCATGCAATTTAACAAGACTAAGTGCAAGATGCCACACCTGGGTAGGGGCAAGCCCCAGTATCAATACAGGTTTAGGGATGAACAGATTGAGAGGAGCCCTACCAAGAAGAACTTGTGGATGCTGGTGTATGAGTCTGGACATGAGCTGGTAATGTGCATTTGCAGCTCAGAAAGCCAACCATGTTCTGGGTTGCATCAGAAGCATGACCAATAAATAAAGGGAGGTGATTCTGCCCCTCTGCTCTGGTGAGGCCCTACCTGGAATACTGCATCCAGCTCTGAGGTCCCCAGTACAGGAAGGACATCAGCCTGTTGGAGTGAGTCCAGAGGAGGGCCACCAAGTTGATTAGAAGGATGGACCACCTCTCCTATGAGGAAAGACTGAGAGAGTTGGGATTGTTCAGCCTGGAAAAGAGAAGGCTTTGGGGTGACCTAATTGCGGCCTTCCAGTATCTGAAAGGAACCTACAAGAAAGATGGAGAAAGACTATTTACAAGGGCATGCAGTGACAGAACAAGGAGGAATGGCTTCAAACTGAAAGAGGGTACATTTAGATTAGATATTAGGAAGAAATTTTTGACTGTGAGGGTGATGAGGCACTGGCACAGGTTTCCCTGAGAAGTTGTGAATGCCCCATCCCTGGAAGTGTTCAAGGTCAGGTTGAATGGAGCTCTGAGCAACCTGGTCTAGTAAAAGGTGTCCCTGCCTGTGTCAAGGGGCTTGGAACTAGATGACCTTTAAGGTCCCAGCAGGTTGGCCCCCAACCTGTACTGATGCATGGGATTATTCTTCCCCAGGTGCAGGAACCTTCATTTACCTTTGTTGAACTTCAGACAGTTCCTCTCTGTCCATCTCTCCAATCTGTCAAGGTCCTCCCGAAGGGTTGCACAACACTCTGGGATATCAGCCAATCCTCCCATCTTTCTGTCATCATCAAACTTACTGAGGAGGCACTCTACCCCTTCATCCAAGTCATTGATGAATAAGTTAAACAATACTGGGCCCAGTATTGAACCTTGGGGAATACCAGTAGTGACAGGCCTACAACTAGACCCTGTGCCACTGATTACAACCCTCTGGGATCTGCTGTTCAGGCAGTGCTCAATCCACCTCACCATCCACTCATCCAGTCCACACTTCCTGAGTTTATCTATCAGGATGTTGTAAGAGACAGTGTCAGAAGTCTTGCTGAAGTCCAGGTAGACAATATCCACTGCTCTCCCTTCATCCATCCAGGTAGTTGCCTCATCGTATCAAGTTGATCAAACATGACTTACCTTTAGTGAATCCATGCTGACTACTCCTGATCACCTTCTTGTTCTCCATGTGGATAGAGATGGCACCCAAAATTATGTCCTCCATCACCTTTCCAGGGATTGAGGTGAGGCTTACTGGTCAATAGTTCCCTGGGTCCTTCTTGCCCTTTTTGAAGAACGGGGTTACATTTGCTATCTTCCAGTCCTCAGGCACCTGTCCTGATCACCACAACCTTTTAAAGATCATTGTGAGTGGCCTCACTATGGTGTCTGCCAGCTCTCTCAGGATGCGTGGATGCATCTCATCAGGGCCCATGGACTTGTGAATGTCAAGTTTTTTTAGGTGTTCTCTGACCCAATTCTCCTTGACTAAGGGAAAGTCTTCATTCCAACATTCCTTTTTCCTGGTCTCCTGGGCCAGAGATCCCTGAGGGCTGGTCTTGTCAGTGAAGACCAATGCAACAAAGACATTCAGTACCTCTGCCTTCTCTGCATCCTCTGTTACCAGGGTCCCCCCTCCAAGTATCGGCCCACATTATCCTTTGTTTTCCTTTTGTTATTGATGTACTTGAAGCAGCCCTTCCTATAGTCCTTGACATCCTTGGTCAGATTTAATTCCAGATGGGCGTTGGCCTTTCTCGTCTCATTTCTACTTACTCTGACAACCTCTCTCTATTCATTCCAAGTGACCTGACCCTACTTCCACCTCTAGTGTATTTCCTGCTTGTGCTTGAGTAATGACAGGAGTTCACTGTTCATCCATGCAGGTCTCTTGCCCCCTTGGTCCAATTTCTTTCTTATTGGGATGCATCATTCTTGAGCCTGGAGGAAGTGATCTTTGAATATCAACTAAGTCTCTTGGACCCCTCTTCCCTTAGGGACCTGTTCCCACGGGATTCTTCCAAGAAGATCCCTGAAGAGGCTAAAGTTAGCTCTCCTGAAGTCCATGGTTGTAATCTTACTTGCTGCCCTGCTTCCTCCTTGCCCAATACTTAACTCCATGATCTCATGGTCACTACAGCCAAGGCTGCCCCTAACCTTCACATCTCCAACAAGGCCTTCCCTGTTAGTTAGTATAACATTTCCACTGGGCAGTTTTCTAGCCAACACAGTAAGGTGTTATAAACTTGTGGGAAAAAAATGAAGTTTTTAATCCTTTGAGAAAATCTATTAATATTAAATGACTTCCTGTCATAGAAGTGTAAAAGCTTTAGCAAAACTAGTAGTGTAATCTTGTTGGCATGCCTGTTTATGTGTTAGTCTCTTTAGAGAGATACTACAGGGGTGGATCTACTGGATGCCAGGTGCCCACCAAAGCTGCTGTATCACTCCCTTCCTCAACTGGAGAGGGGAGATAAAATATAATGAAAGGCTTGTGGGTTGAGATAAGGGCAGGGAGAGATCACACACCGATTACTGTCACAGGCAAAACAGACTTGACTTGGGGAAATCTATTGAATTTATTACCATTCAAATTACAGTAGGATAATGAGAAGTAAAACAAATCTTACAAACACCTTCCCCCCACCCCTCCCTCCTTCCTAGGCTCAACTTTATTCCTGATTCTCTACCTCCTCCCCCCAGTGGCACAGGAACACAGGAATTGGGGGTTACAGTCAGTTCATCACATGCTTCTGGTGCTGCTTCCTCCTCAGGGACAGGACTCATTCCCCTGCTCCAGTGTGGGGTCCCTCCCATGGGAGACAATCCTCCATGGACTTCTCCAACATAAATCCTTCCCACAGGCTACAGTCCTTGTCCAACTGTTCCAGCATGGGTCCTTTTCCACAAGGTGCAGTCCTTCGGGAACAGACTGCTCCAACATGGATTTCCCACAGGATCACAAATCCTGCCAGCAAACTTGGTCCAGCATGGGCTTCTTTCTCCATGGGGCCACAGGTCCTGCCAGGAGCCGGCTCCAGCATGGGCTTCCCACAAGAGGGTCATAGAGTCCTTTGGGCATCCACCTTCTCCGGCATGGGGGTCCTCCATGGGCTGCAGGGGGACAACATGTCTCACCATGGGTTGTACCATGGGTTGCAGAGGAATCTCTGCTCAAGCGCCTGGAGCACCTGCCCCTCCTTCTTCACTGACCTTGGTATCTGCAGAGTTGTTCCTCTCACATATTCTCACTCCTCTCATCTCTGTCTGCAAGTACTTCCACGCAATAATTTTTTTCCCTTTTAAAATATGTTATCACAGAGGCGTTACTGCCATAGCTGATGGGTTCAGCCTTGGCCAGTGGGAGGTCCATCTTGGAGTTGGCTGGCATTGGCTCTATTGGACATAGGGGAAGCTTCTAGCAGCTCCTCACATAAGCCACTTCTGTAGCCCCCCCTCTATTCAAAACCTTGCCATGCAAACCCAATACAACTGCCAATCTGCTAGTGATATGAGGAATACCACCACCAAGTAAATTAAGACAATTTACTTCATAGTTTAATGATTTTTCTAAGTTGACCTAAATTCACTTATTTTGAATTCTTGGCCTCTAATTTCCATCCACTTAAACAAATGCAAAGCATTACTATGGCTTTATATGTGAGGAGCAAATAATTGGAGCAAATCATTTGTTTCATATGTCAAAATTCTTTGATGTGGTTCTTCACCTAAAATTTTCTTTTTATCACTTCTGTGACAACTCCCTTTTCATCCAAACCTTAAATTTCTGTATGAAAAAGTTCTGTTTTTCTTGGTGACTTGTATGTATTATGCTTTGTGTTGTTTTGTGTATTCTGTTGTTGTTGTGAAATGCATCAATAATTAACCAAGCACTGGCTTCTGGTGGGCAAGACCTCTAAACAGTTTGAAGAATATTAGGCAAATATCTTTTCCATAATAAGCAATACCCCTTTCTGAATGTTAGAAGGAAATGTTTCAGCAGGAATACATTTATTATGGACTTACTATAAGTAGTTTTTAGTTCACTGTAGTCAGGGTCAACAACCTAAAGTTACAGTCAACTTCTGATAACTAGGGCACAGTTTTGTCTTAAGTGTGGATCATCTGTGTTACAGGTGTAGAGACATGAGCTGGTTCTATTTCAGCTTATTAACCCCAATGCAGTGCTTTCTGAAAGTGCCTATGCTATTTCCACAGTCAGATGTGATCCAGAAGGAGATTTAGCTCATTTGTGGGAAGCCATGCAAAGTTTAATAAGGTCTGAGCACCAGAGCTGGCTATGCATTTCATCAGCAGCATGTCCTGAAATGGGGTAAAAACTGATAGTTGCAGGGAGAACTCACAGGAAGGACATTTGAATGATTATGCAGTGAACCAGCACAGCCCACAACAGGCTCAGTAGCTCAGGTTTTGCAAGGTTTAGAGGGGCTCTGGGCATGGCCTTCTATATGCCCATTCACTCAGATACTCATGGTTCCAAGTTTAGGGACAGGAGACCTTGTGTGCCTGGATGTACCCTACTGTGTATCATTTGGATTGATTCTGCTTTTTTGGGGGGTCTAGGAGTGTTAGAACAGTTTCCAATGCATCCAAGTAACTATAGGAGTTAAGTGAGGACCAGCAAGTAGGATCAACCTCCTTTAACCAATGTGGATGCAACAGGATTGTGTTTAGAGTGGCTTGGGCACCTGCACTTTACTCTGCAGTGTGTTTTGTACCTGTATAATAGAGAGTATCCATTTGTCTGTTGGACCACCATATCTCAGATTAAGAACCATTGACTGTATATGCTATCCGTTGTGCAATTGTTCAGCTGTGTTTCTTTAATGTGAAGATTTTTGCAAAACCAGTAGTCACTTCTTTTTTTAGTAGAATTTTAATGAGTCCCCAATCCAAAAGTATTTTCTAATACATGCCAACCAAAAATATTAAATAGAAAGCATATAATTGTTTTGCCTTATGATCAGTAAATTAGCTACATCAGAATTGAAAAAGGCATTAAATTTGCAGTTGAGACATTTAGGGTGTTTTGGAGAAAAATTAACATTTCAGTTAATGTGGATTTTTTTCAAGTAAATTTAGAAGTTACTGAAATTAGTTGATTTCAGGAAAAAAGTATATTAGAAGTTTTCTGTTGCTTATTTCCCTAGGATGTTGACGCTACAAACCCAAATTATGAAATTATGTGTATGATAAGAGATTTCAGGGGAAGTTTGGATTATAGACCACTGACAACTGCAGATCCTGTAAGTACCTGAGTGATGTGGAAATTTTTTATCCTTCTGAATTTTGCTCTCTTTTTCCAATTTTTTCAATGTATGTACCTCGCCTTGAACACTTCCATAGAGGGAGTATCCACAATTTCTCTGGGAAACCTGTGCCTCACCACCCTCACAGTAAAGAATTTCTTCATAACATCTAATCTAAATCTCTCCTCTTTTATTTTAAAACCGTTCCCCCTCATCACTGCACTCCCAGAGAAAAAAATCTCTCCCCATCTTTCCTGTAGGCGCCCTTTAGGTATTGGAAGGCTGCTATAAGGTCTCCCCAGAGCCTTTTCTTCTCCAGGCTGAACAGTCCCAACTCTTTCAGCCTGTCTCCATAGCAGATGTGCTCCAGCCCTCTGAGTATCTTCATGACCTCCTCTGGACTCGCTCCAACAGGTCCACATCCTTCTTATGCTGGAAGCCCCAGAGCTGGATGCAGTACTCCAGGTGGGGTCTCACAAGAGCGGAGTAGAGGAGGAGAATCACCTCTCTCGACCTGCTGGTCACACTTCTGATGCAGTCCAGGATGCAACTAACTTTCTGGGCTGTGAGCACACACTGCCAGCTCATATTCAGTTCCTCATTCACCAATACCTCTAAGTCCTTCTTGGCAGGGCTGCTCTCAGTCCACTCATTGTCCAACCTGTATCCGTATTTGGGATTGCCCTGACCCAGGTGCAGGGCCTTGCACTTGGCCCTGTTGAACTTCACAAACTTCACATGGGCCCAACTCTGAAGCCTGTTAAGGTCCCTCTGGATGGCATCTCTTCCCTCCAGCATGTCTACCACACCACACAGTTTGATATCATCTGCAACCTTGGTGAGGATGCAGCTGATCCCACTGTCCATATCACCGATAAAGATGTTAAACAATCCTGGTCCCACTACCAACCCCTGATGTAACCCCCCCACTACCAAAACCCAACCACAAAAACCCACTACACCTGAGGAACGCCACTCCTCACTGGTCTCCACTTGGACATCAAGCCATTGACTGCAACTCTTTGAGTGCGGCCATCCAGTCAATCCCTTATCCACTAAGTGGCCCATCCATCAAATCCATGTCTCTCCAGTTTGGAGAATAGGATGTAATGCTGGACAGTGCCAAATGCTTTGCACAATTCCAGGTAGATGACATCAGTCACTCTTCCCTCATCCATCGATGCTGTAACCCCGCTGTAGAAGGCCACCAAGTTTGTCAGGCACAGGGTCCAGGGGAGGGCCACAAAGATGATTAGGGGTCTGGAGCACCTCTCATGAGGAGAGACTGTGGGAGCTGGGCCTGTTTAGTCTAGAGAAGACTGAGAGGGGATCTAATTAATGCATATAAATAAAGGCAGGTGTTAAGAGAATGGTGCCAGACTCTTTTTGGTGGTGCCCAGCAACAGGACAAGGAGCAATGGCCATAAACTAAAACACGAGAAGTTTCACCTCAACATGAGGAAGAACTTCTTTACATTGAGGGTGCCAGAGCACTGGAACAGGCTGCCTAGGGAGGTCATGGAGTATCCCTCTCTGGAGACATTCAAAACCCACCTGGACACATTCTTGTGTCACCTGCTCTAGGTAAACCTGCCTTAGCAGGGAGGTTGGACTGGATGATCTCCAGAGGTCCCTTCCAACCCTAACTATTCTGTGATTCTGTGATTTGCCCTTAGTGAAACCACGCTGGCTGCCACCAATCACCTCCTTATTTTCCATATGCCTTAATTTAGTTTCCAGGAGGATCTGCTCCATGATCTTGCCAGGCACTGAGGTGAGTCTGACAGGCCTGTAGTTCCCTGGGTCTTCCTTATTTCCCTTTTGAAAAATCAGGGTTATGTTTCCTCTTTTTCCGTCATGGGAACTTCACCAGACTGCCATGACTTTTCAAATATGATGGATAGTGGCTTAGCCACTTCCTCAGCCAGTTCTTTCAGGACCCATGGATGTATCTTGTCAGGTCTCAGGGAATTGTGCACCTTCAGGTTCCTTAGATGGTCTCAAACCTGATGTTCTCCTTTGGTGGGTGGTACTTCATTTTCTCAGCCCTTGCCTTTGGATTCTGTGAGTTGGTCAGTGTGACTGGAGCACTTGCCAGTTAAGACCAAGGAAAAAAACTGATTGAGTACCTCAGCTTTCTCCATGGCCCAAGTAACCAGGTCTCCCGTTTTGCTCATTGGGGGGTGTGGGGGGGTAGGTGCACAGTTTCTTTTATCTTTCTTGTCCCATATGCCTGTAGAAACTCTTGTTATTTTTCATGTCCTTGGCCAAGTCCAACTCCAGCTGCACCTTGGCTTTCCTTATCTCCTCCCTGCACTCCCAGGTCATATCCCTATAATCTCCCAAGGATATGTCTCACTGCCTATGCATTTTGGTTTTGTGTTTTGGGTTCTCCATTTTGGGTTCTAGGTTATTGTGCAGATGCAAGGGGCTTTTACACATTCAGATGACCCACTGTCTCGTAAATTTCTCTTTGTTTAAATTATATTATTATACAAGAATAGAAGTAAAATATTGCATAACTGGAATGGGGGTATAGTTCACTAAAAAATTGTTTCCTTTGTAGATTGATGAGCACAAGATATGTGTTTGTGTACGAAAACGACCACTCAATAAAAAAGGTATGGCCATATAAGATTTTGCAATTTTTTTTTCTCTGAAAAGCTGTTTCTGATAGTAATATTATTTGTATTGGGAGCCCCCGGTGGTCCAGGGGAAAATTCACTGCACCGTCACTGCAGAGACCCGAGTTCGATTCCCGGTCGGGGCCCCTCCCCGGGCAGATGGAGCTCGTTAGCCCGTAAGGCAATCCATCTACGTCCTGAGGACCTCGCTGCCACCGTCCAAGCGTGCTTGGCCCCGGCAGATGAACCTCAGGATTAAAGGGTGGGCTCAGTTCCGCGCACACTGTGTCTCACCTAAAAAAAAAATCCAATGC